GGGGGGGAATGGGGTGTACTGGGTTATACTGGGGTGTACTGGTTTGTACTGGGGTGTACTGGGTTGTACTGGGTTATACTGGGGTGTACTGGGTTCTACTGGTTTGTACTGGGGTGTACTGGGTTATACTGGGGTGTACTGGGGTGTACTGGGGTGTACTGGTTTGTACTGGGGTGTACTGGGTCATACTGGGTTATACTGGGGTGTACTGTTTTGTACTGGGGTGTACTGGGTTATACTGGGGTGTACTGGTTTGTACTGGGGTGTACTGGTTTGTACTGGGTTATACTGGGGTGTACTGGGTTATACTGGGGTGTACTGGTTTGTACTGGGGTGTACTGGGTCATACTGGGTTATACTGGGGTGTACTGGGTTATACTGGGGTGTACTGGGGTGTACTGGTTTGTACTGGTTTGTACTTGGGTGTACTGGGTTATACTGGGGGGGAATGGGGGGGAATGGGGTGTACTGGGTCATACTGGTTTGTACTGGGGTGTACTGGGTTATACTGGGGTGTACTGGTTTGTACTGGGGTGTACTGGGTTATACTGGGGGGGAATATGGGGGAATGGGGTGTACTGGGTCATACTGGGCTGTACTGGGCTATACTGAGGTGTACTGGGTTATACTGGTTTGTACTGGGTCATACTGGGTTATACTGGGGTGTACTGGTTTGTACTGGGTTATACTGGGTTATACTGGTTTGTACTGGGGTGTACTGGGTTATACTGGGGGGGAATGGGGGGGAATGGGGTGTACTGGGTCATACTGGTTTGTACTGGGGTGTACTGGGTCATACTGGTTTGTACTGGGGTGTACTGGGTCATACTGGTTTGTACTGGGGTGTACTGGGTTATACTGGTTTGTACTGGGGTGTACTGGTTTGTGCTGGTTTATATTGGGGTGTACTGGGTTATACTGGGGTGTACTGGTTTGTACTGGGTTATACTGAGGTGTACTGGTTTGTATTGGGGTGTACTGGGTTATACTGGTTTGTACTGGGATATACTGGGGTGTACTGGTTTGTACTGGGAGGGACTGGGTTGTACTGGGGGGGAATGGTTTGTACTGGGTTATACTGGTTTGTACTGGGTTATTCTGGGGTGTACTGGGTCATACTGGTTTGTACTGGGGTATACTGGTCTGTACTGGGTTATTCTGGGGTGTACTGGGTCATACTGGTTTGTACTGGGGTATACTGGTCTGTACTGGGTTATAGTGGTTTGTACTGGTTTATACTGGGGTGTACTGGGTTGTACTGCATTATACTGGGTTATACTGGGTTATACTGGTTTATACTGGGAGTGCTGGGAATGGGAAGGAGGGGAAGTTTGTTCCAGTTTGTCCCAGTCCCTCCCAGTTTGTTCCAGCCCAATTCCCAGTCTGTCCCAGTCCCTCCCAGTTCATCCCAGTTCATCCCAGTTTGTCCCAGACTCAGCCGAGGTGATCCAGTCCCATTCCCAGTTTGTCTCAGTTCCTCCCAGTTCATCCCAGTTCATCCCAGTTCATTCCAGACTCAGCCGAGGTGATCCAGTCCCATTCCCAGTTTGTCCCAGTCCCTCCCAGTCCCTCCCAGTTCATCCCAGTTTGT